GCAACCGTGCATGCAGTTCAGCCTTTCGTCAATAGATACAGCTATTGCGGTCAATGTTACAATTGACCCTCTGTTTCAACCGACACCACTCTCCCCTACTGCCATCACAAATATCGATCGGCGCACATTTTAAAAAGTTCACAGTTCATTTTTAATCCAATTCTTGAATTCCTTTGGTGTGAATTTCCATCAAGCTACTTGACTTCCACTAAGTTAAATTTTGAGTGTGGAATGCTCTACGATTCTACACTATAGTTGTCGGCCTGGATATATAAAAACGATGTTTCTCATAAAAAAAAAACAGTAAACCGAATTAATGTAAAATTAAGGCTGGGGTGTTAAGAGAAAGGCAAAATTCATCCATAACATCATTCATAAATTTAATTGTTCAATAAATTCGTGTATTTCATATAATGACATATTATGTTAATAGTTACTAATTGTAAGAATCCAATCAATATACTTTAATATTTACTGAGAAGAACATTAATGCTAAAAACAGTTATAAAAACGGTTCCAAAATTATATTTATGTTTTTGTATACAATCGATTATCGTCATTTATTTGTAATTCTTATATCACATTTTTTTACTAAAAAATGATTTAAAATGTATTTAATATTTTGAATATACTTTAACAAATTAATAATGTAATAAAAATCTAGCCACATTTTCCCATGTTGTTATACTATTTATTTTTCTCTTGCATAAATACATTATTAAGTTTCATATCAGTTTCATATGTGTTTCTGATCTGAAGTACACTGCTGTTCAATAATCGAATCTCACTTTAGTCGCACTTGGGTGTAGATGAAATGGCGCTTACCCTACACACTTCTCCACCCTCCTACACTCAAGGGACTCGATTAAAGAACAGTAGTGTACAATAATTGCAGATATATTATTAATAATAATAATTATATATAAATATTTAAAGTCTATTTTTCAATAATATTTATGATGCATAAGCGAATACATTTAAAATTTAAATCTCGCTTTAATAAAAGGTTGGTTGTTTTTATAGAATTAATTTTTTTCTTGAACTGCTATCTCTCTCTCTCGCTCTCTCTCTCCCCCTCCCTCTCTTTTTTTTTATATGATCATGCGCAGGACGGAAAAACGAATAAAATACAGAATATACAACAGCATTTTCGTTCTACGCATGTGCTGTTAGAATGAGAATTGAGGGGAGATTATAAAATGAGTGATTGTATAATATAGATACTTGATTAGCGTCGTACATTCATCACGATTGTTCTCATCTAAGAAGATGTTCTAGAAGATGCTACATCACAAAAAAATTTCTACCGTTTGGAAAATGCTTACTGCACTTTTTGCTTTTGCGCTTGTGACAACATATGTTACAGCAGAAATACGTGAGTAAATAAATATTTATCACATATTTATTTGCATTATATGTAGAATTTAAAATATATTATTTGTTAGATTGTCACATGTCGCTGCGTAATGGTAAATTGCTACACTGAAAGAAAAGATTGGTTGCTGCAGCAAATTAGATGATAAAATATGGCATAGCCATTCTGATAGTTGACATGCAGCAATCAATTTTTGGTTGCATTAGCCAATCGAAATCCTATACTGACGTTGCGGATAGGCTAATACAATCAAAAATTGGCTGCAGTAACCAAAAATTGACTGTTGCAGCCAATTAAAAATGCTGTGCCATATTTTACCATCTTATTTTGCTGCAGCAACTAATCTTATTTTTCAGTGTATACATGATCGTATGTGAATGAATAAAATATAGAATAAAGTACATATTAAGAAAATGAAAGCTGAAAAAAATTATGACTCGCATATTTAATAAAAATGACAATAAAAAATTAATAAATTTAACAAAAATATTATATTTTTTTTATATTTAAACGTTTTATTACATATAAAGAATTTCTGTAATTTTATATTACATTCTATAAATTTGTCTTGCATTTGTATTTACATTATTTCGGAAAAACGAAATATATTTAACACATGAGTTGAATAACAGAAATAAATAAAAATTTTAGCATTAAGTAACCTGTGTAAATTATTTTATTGATATAGTTCATAAAATATTAGTTTCACGCCGTATATCTTAGTTTAATTAAAAGTGTTACATTAAATTATTCGAGATCTGATATCAACTGATATTGTTATGTGTAACATAATTTTTCCAATTTTTAATAATGTAATATAATATATTATAGGACCGTACATGTGATAACACAAACTATAGGAATCAAAGCCTTACACGGTCTAGCTGGATCTTAATGCTTGTATGATTCTTATGTGAATTTATATACTACGTATGTAGTCCCACAGAAACGCGCGCCGAAAAATTTCTAGTCTTGAAACGCTAACTCTACTAAACTACCGCAGTAATATCACGAGTTAAATTGACTAGCAATTTAACAAATTTTGATGCTTATTCGCATCTTTGAAACGATCTTAATAATGATGAATAACATATTAAAATCTGTAGATAATTAATTCTTATTGCGAAAAATATTACCTCGGCCGGGAGTCGAACCCGGATCTCTTGCATACCGAGGCAAGCCTCGGTAGTCTAAAGGCTCAGGACGCTCGCACGGTATGCAAGAGATCCGGGTTCAACTCCCGGCCGAGGTAATATTTTTCGCAATAAGAATTAATTATCTACAGATTTTAATATGTTATTCATCATTATTAAGATCGTTTCAAAGATGCGAATAAGCATCAAAATTTGTTAAATTGCTAGTCAATTTAACTCGTGATATTACTGTGGTAGTTTAGTAGAGTTAGCGTTTCAAGACCGGAAATTTTTCGGCGCGCGTTTCTGTGGGACTACATACGTAGTATATAAATTCACATAAGAATCATACAAGCATTAAGATCCAGCTAGACCGTGTAAGGCTTTGATTCCTATAATTTTAATAATGTGTTTAATAATTTATTATAATGAAAGAATAGTAATACGAGTATTTATTTTTCTTCAAAGAGTAAAAGAAATATGCTTGTCTTGACTTACCTTGTACTCATTATAAATAGTATTACTTCGTATTAAGCAATAAGTTATTACCGCAATATATTATAATTATATATTTCAATAAAAGTTAATAATTATGTTAAAACAAGATATTTATCGATAGTAAACGCATCAGTATAGATTAACTCTTTTTTCATACGAATATTTTGTTACTCACTATTTTTTATCTCTTGTTTAGAATAAGAAGTTTTTATGTAAAATGATGATTTAATCTTATTTCTTACAAGAACTAATTAAGATATATGTAATAGCAGTAGAGAATTATACATATAAATCAAACAATTAGAGAAAAAGCCTATACGGTCGCGACTAAATCTTAGTGCTTAATAATATTTTTATGCTATACATCAAATACATCTTTTCGTTCTTTAAACCGCGCTGATTTGCAATGAAATGGACTGAAATAATCTCACGAATTAAATTGTTAGTTTTAATGCACATTTTATTTTTTTCTCGAGGTTATAAGTAATTATGTTGCATGATTTATAACAGATTAAAATTTTTAATTTTATTTTAAATTATGATAATTAATTCATTTTAATTTATGATAATTGATCTATGCAATGTTATAATTAATATAGAAAACCAGTTGAGCAATGACAATCAATATTAGCTGAGTTGTAGAAATTAATAGAGCAGCTGATATATACATGTAAATCACAAGTAATTACAGCTTTGAATAAGCTAACTATTTTCTTCATAAAGGTGTAACAATCGCTTATAATTCTGATATTATTAAAACTTTAAAGACGTCATGTATTTATACTACATTAAACATCACATTATCATAATGCAAAAATTTTACACTGGTAAAATTGATCATAAGACAGCGCATGTGACAACTAGCTTCATAGCTGAAGAATTCCATGTTAAACCGAGAAATCTCAAATTTTTTTCGCAAAACACGTATTTCATATTTTTATTAGTAAACTGTCAGCAGATTTTTAAAAAATGACGATGTTTTAAAGGTACTCGGTTTGACGTGGGATGCCTCAACTGTGGAACAGCTTATTATTACAATTGATAGGATAATCTATCAATTGTAATAAATAAATGAATATTATATATAAAAACGTTTCATTAATTACAAATACTGTAATTAATGCAAGCTTTTAATTAATTTTTATTTAAAATCAAAATTGTTTAGATTTATAAACAAATGACGTTTTTATTAAAACTTTTAAATTTATATGTAAAAACTAATAAACAGGAGAGCTACGAGCCAATAGTATATTTGTATCACTGACCGTTTAAAATTGTAATTAGTTATGTATTTAAACGCACGTTCGAGTTTGCCTAAATTTTATCAATCATAAAACATAATAACTGCTCTATATAAAATTAATAACATATACACAATAGAAACAAGACAAATTAAAATATAACACAAGAGCTAAAAATTATAAACAAAACGTTTCGACCTATCACGAGATCATCTTCAATTGTTAAAAACTGTTCTAAATTATGTGCTTATTCTATAAAATTCGTATATATGTAAAAAAATTCATTTATATGTAAAGTTATAACAAAATAATTTACGAATTTTCCTAAATTTTTAAATAATATTTTTTTAATGATATTTCTGATGTTATTTTATTCTTTCTCCTAGAAAGTATTTATCTTTGACTGTCCTTATGCATATGATATATTTACATAAAGAATAATAGACAGAAATAATTAAGTAATTTTTTTTGTTGCAACAATGCAATAATGTATCTAGAATATATAATTAAATTTTTGAAAGTAATTATGTTTAATCTTAAACCGACATTAAGTTTTGATTAAATAGTCTATAACAGAGCCTTCCAAATGGTCACGTGATCGTGTCCCCACCAAAGTTTCAACAATAAGTAGGCCCCTCTCAATGTTACTCTCTCCAATGCTACCTTTCCTCCCATCATGCGTGTTCAGAATCGTCGCAAGCAACATGCAAATTGTGCGCTGAAAAGCGCATTAACAAGAGGGGCACCAAATTAAAATTTATAAAAATTAATTTTTTATTTCTAATATCAATTATATGTGCTCGCTTATGTCAGATTTCATTTCTTTTAAAACGAATACTGTATCAAATTAGAAAAATCGTTATAAAATATGAAATCATTGAAATCTGACTTTATAAGGCATTATATAAGACTTACTTTAATTATATAATTATTTGCTGTGAATATTAACATATTATCCAAAGTTTCAAGATGAGATTTGGCGACCGATTGGATAACACTACAGTTCTGACAACCTGCGAGTGACTCTATATCGAATGTTCGCGAAATCTATTATAGTTATAAGATGATTGCTGATGAAGATTCCATAGAGAATCGTTCAAGAATTCAAAAAAGATTCCAACACATCATATGGATTGACAAATTTACTTTGCTGAAAATTTATTACGCACCTCAGCTCGCGTTCGACTCTTATTAGTCCAATTGTAGGTTATATTTATGATCTCTATATATAGTGCAGCCTTCATGGGTCCATTTGGTGCAATGATTGCACTGGATCAGTCATTAACAAATCATCATACTGCATTGTGGTAAAAAATAAACAAAAATGAGATGTAAACGAACACTTGCCTTTCATACACTCAAAAGGTCGTTTATCCCTCCGTATTTCCAGTATTTTTATTGTAGGGGAAAGTGGGAGAATTGTGCGCAGCGAGTAATTGTGCGCATCCTAATTTGGTACTTTTCCAATAGATGAAGACATCACCGTGGTGAAGATTTTACGCAGAAAGTCGTCCCCCTCCCCCTTTTAAGATATATAACTACAAAAGGTACGACGTAAATACATCGCTAGCTAGAGAAATACAAAATGTGAAATTACATTATCTTTTCTTGTTATTTCAGAAAATAAGATGGTAAGTCCGTATTTTTAATTTGTTTGTTTAAAATTGTATACGTTATTAAAATACGTTATTATGTGCATCTTTTGAGTTGTTATTTATTAAGTTTGGTTAGGAATTGTTGAAGTAATCGTATTTCGTACCGAGTTAAGTCGCGGCGGGCAACTGTGCACAAGCGTTTTAAAATGCGCACAATTACCCATCTTCCATATACTGTATGACTAGCACTAGTTTTTTCGTTTCTTTTTGGCATTATACTATTTTATTTTACCATTTCATATTGTCAAAGTCTATGTGCATTATTATTATATTAGTTTTATATTTTTTCTTAATATATACAATATACATTTAAAATATGTTTAATGTATATTTATATTGCAATATAATGAATGTATGTTCTGATTTCTATGTCAACATTCCAGAAAGGTTAAAATAAGTTGAAATACCAAAAAAGTAAAAAATTTTAAATTCGAATACATGTTTAAAGACACAGAATTTTTATAAAAAATCATTTACACTGGTTAAGGAACAATTACAAATAATAATTAAGCTACGTACCTAAGGAAAAATCGCAAGAAAACATTCAATTTTCTATATGTCTCTATTAAACACAAACGAATCATGTCGTTTCGTACTTTCATAGCATCGCTGAAGGAACCCGATTTGGAAGGCTCTCGTTTATAATATAGTAGTAGAGAAATACAATATAGTTTATTAATAATAAATTCCTTTTTCTAAAATTATAAAAAATTATTTTGTACTTTAAGGACAAATAAAATAGTGTAAAGATTGTTTTATTTTATAGCGTTTTTTAAAACCAAAGGAAATTATTAATCAACCCAATATTATTGTTCGAACTTATTTTACTTTATAGTTTAGTTTAAGATGTACCATCATTATTATTATTTTATTTATTAATATTTTATTTTAATATCTAATTTATAAACTTAGAAATTATATATATAAAGAAAATAAATATTGTACAGCTTTCTACATTCATCCATGTGGCCTCAAAGATCCTAATTATGATCAATGCATTGTGGACAATACTTACAGTACGATAGATACGATGTGTACAAAAAATTACGATGTTAATGTTTTGAACAACCAAGCAATACTTATGGACAAAATAGTTATTTATGATACAAATAATCTTAAATTATATCTCAAAGATATAAAAATACTTGGAGTTTGTGATAATTTGAATATAAAATATATACACGTAGATCCTGACAGACTCCACTATGATGCTGAAATTGTACTTGGAAAATTGAGAATAAATGCTTTGTATGATTTTGACATACGTGTGCTGGTGCCTCTTGCTAATAAGGGACTGGTTACCATAAAACTAATAAGTACGTAAAATATTAATCTTATATATTAAATATTAATTTCTTATTATTGATCGTATATTCAAATAATATAAAATTTTAATGAAATTTAGCAGAAAAAAAGTTTAATTATGTTTCATTAAAATTAGCAAAATGTATGTTTTTTTTGCAGATGATACATTATTGAAAGTAAATCTGGATCTAAAAGTGGCAACTAAGAATGAGAAAAAAGAGATATACGCTTCAAAAGTAAAGACAAATATTAATATCACAGGAATGGAATATGTATTTGATGAAAGTGAAAAAGAATTAGTTCAACTGCATCAAGCTATCAAAAGTGTCGTAGACAGTAATACTGAAGATATTATTAATACTGTTAAAGCAGCAATAGAAGAGAAACTCTCTCAAATAATTATCTACGTATTTAATACTATTAGCCATTCTAGTTATGAGAAACTATTTAGCGAGAATGCATAAATTGTCTGGTACTTTGGGATTCGTTATTGTAAGATTTCTTACATATTAAAATTGTACTAAAAAATAGCTGAAATTATGTAGAAATCTTGTTACAATACTCTGAAAATCGGTGGCGTGAAATTTAGTTTAGGCAAGTGATGATAACATTATTATTATTTATATAGATTGTAACTGCAACAATGTAATATTTAAAAATCTTTGTCATTTTTGGACAGCGAACAGTAGAGACTAATTTTATCTAATTTTCCTTTTTTACTGTATTAGTTTCTACACGGAGAGAATTTTTTCTTAGAATTTACCCTGAAAATATGATAGTCGTGGGACAACATTGTATTTTGAAGAATTTTAACATAAATCCCTCTCATTCATTAATAAAACTACAATAAAGTTTAAAATAAGTTTGATCAATTTTACTGAAGTGCATGGTAAAAATCTTCGAAATACAATGTTGTCCCACGACTGTCATATTTTCAGGGTAAATTTTAAAAGAAAATTCTCTCCGTGTATGTTTTATTGTACGTGTTAATGCTACGAAAGTATCGATAGGACTTAATAATTTCAGATTTGATAATTCTCATTAATTATTGTTTGTGGTGTATATGCGTTTTGTTGTGTTCTGGTGTGAAATTCACATGGCCACTTTTATCCAACTATGTGGTGGGCAACATTGCTTTGAATTGAGAAGAATTGTTTGTCTTGTCTGTAGATCAATAAGACGCATAGAAATAATGGATAGACTACTGAATGTACTGCGATGTCTTTTGTTCTTAATAATTTGTTAAAATTTGCTCTCTGAAAATGAAGGTCAAATTCAAGCTGGATCTTAATGCTTGTATGCTTCTTATGTGAATTTATATTCTACGTGTGTACTTCCCAGAAATGCGCGCCGAAATAATTTTTCGGTCTTGAAACGCTAACTCTATTAAACTACCGCAGTAATATTACGAGTTAAATTGACCGGCAATTTAACAAATTTTTTATGCTTATTTGCATCTTCGAAACGATCTTAATAATGTTGAATGACATATTAAAGTCTGTAAATAATTAATTCTTATTGCGAAAAATATTACCTCAGCCGGGAGTCGAATCCGGATCTCTTGCATTCCGTGCGAGTTTACATTATTAGACAACTTGTATTTAAATTTACGTGTGATACCCTAAATATTTTTAATATAATGTAGTATGCGAGACCTATGAGCATATACTATATTTGAACGTATGTGTCAATTTTGGTTCCAAAGGTTTCGAAGTGAAAACAATCTTAATGACAAATTATGTCACGGTTAATGACAAATTATGTCATGGCTAAAAATGGAGACAAAGAATTGGATACTTTCTTCACTAAAGATGGAGCTCAGTCATCTGTCGTAGCAGTAATGAAATAGCTCGCTGTTAGTCATACACTTATAGCCGTAACATAAATACATGTTGTGTTATCACATACCAGGTATGTAAATATGAAACCGGAATTTTTTAATAGAAAATACACGTTTATTGCATGAAAATGATAAAAAATATTTTATTCGAAGTATTGCCCATCGCTAGCTATACATTTTTCCCACCTGTCTGACAATTTGTGGATGCGACGCCAAAAAAATTGTTGCTTTTTTGAGCCAAACTAGTCATCTAGCCATTTTCGTACATCTTCGTAAGAAGTGAAGCGGTGCTGAGCAAGTGCGTGTCCATCGGTGGAAATAAGTAGTAGTCGGACGGAGCCAAGTCTCTCTCTCTCTCTCTCTCTCTCT